AAATTCATGATTAAAATCACTTAATTTGAAAACGATACGCCTGTATGCACGATGCTATGATCCTATTTATGTACATACTATTACTAAAACATGTACTGGGAGAACAGAAGAATAGAATCATAAGCCCTAGTTTAACAATTTCATGTAATACTAACCACTAACGAACATGATAGATTTTTATTTCGAGGGAGACGATAGTTTTCAAGGAGCGCTCCTTGGTAATAAGGGTGCGCTGCACATTATATATAGTATATATTGTATACAGGCAAATTACTAATGGTCAACTGTATTTATAGTGTTTATAAACAAGTGAGTTGCAATCAGGGCTTTTGTAAACAAGACTCTCAACAGTAAGGACGTGAATTAATTTCAACAGGGCAGTAGAACAGGGCAATGATGCTGATATAACAAACATTCTAAGGAGTCGGGAGAAAAGTGTGAAGTGGCACGTCTCGCAACAATTATTGGCAAAAGTACAGTTACAAGGGAAATTTCGACTAGTGTTCAGGCATTTTATTTCTCGCAGTGTGTAGTGACGGACGAACAAGATGTGAGTGATGTAAAAGTAAGACCACGCAGACGTCAGAGTCGTCAGACTTGTTGTCGACTTGTTGTCGCGACAGAATTGAGAACAGATTCAATTTCGTTCAATTCACTTGACGATTGAACTGAACAAATATGCATACAGTCGGCCTTTCCGACAATCAGTAGATCAAGATGCAAGTGTGAAGTGTTGAAAGTATTGATCATATTATAGTGATACTGCCATTTTTTCAGCAAGAATTAAGGTGCAATAAACGTTACAGGTGTCTACGATAATTTATATATCAACAATAATCACTCAGTAATCAGTATACCTAATCCTATACAGTATTCCTTTAAAATTATTACTTTAAACGTTTGGAATAATTTAGTACTTATCTAATTCTTATATCGCAGTTATATCAAGTCGCGACCAAATCCAGGCAAAGTTAGCAGTAGCAGAGTGAAAATGTTATAATTTTGTCCTATAAATTATAATTATAAGGGATTATAAGGGATTGTAATTATAAGGGGACGTTCACATATTACGTAATCACGTTTTGGACAATTTGTAGCCCACCTCCCCGGCCATCCGTAATCAGTTTATACACATAGCTATTGTGTCAAGATTACACTAGTGTAACTGTAATCATTTGGAAACCTCCCTCCCCCCTAGTAGTAGTCAGCTGATTACGTAATATGTGAACGACCCCTAATCTTATCCACTAAACCATTTGTGATTCGATCAAAGTCAGACGAAAAATTTCAATGATCGAACCTCAACATTCAGGCTGTATTTGACTTGAGGCAAATTTGCGCTTATCTAAGACATAAGTGGAGATCACTGATCTGTGATCAGTTGCAGTCTATGCGAAGGTCCGGTAAAGTGAGGAGATTAAGATAACTTATTCATAGGGAATGAACGGAGGCTTTTCCTTCATTGTTTGTGGGAACGATAAGACGAGACCAAATGTTCATGGCTCTGAAAATACTATTTACTTTTAGCAAATGCCTACTGTATACGTGACACTCATAAAGAGTTAAAGACAAATTTTATTGTTGCCGTACGCATGGATCATACGTTGTACACGTTTTAAATTAAAATATTAAACCTATACTTAGACTGTGAATAAGTGACTATTTAAATTTTATACAATTATAGTATAAATTTAACAAATCACTTGCTATATAAAGCGGAGCGGCATAAAGAACAGTTGTTAGAGCACTTGTGCAGCAGACACTGTTATCAGACTTGTCGTGCTCCTATCATGTATCACACGGCCCAACCGGCCAAATAGGTGGCACAATGACGTCGACCTAGTCTCTGATGACTTGTAATACAACTCATATCTAGTATCTTCCCTCTCTCTTCTGATAATAATATCTGTGTGTTGGTGAGTGCTGAGTGCGGGGACAGGCCAGGTAATTGACATGATTGTCTATTGCATCACATCTCTATACAGGATGATGTGGTACCATTATTAGTGATTTCATAGAAAATAATCGAATTGTCACTCGAAATTGTTAAGTATATTGTGTGAGATTGTCTGAGGAAACACAGACCCTGGTCAAAGAAGTCGGGGATTTAGCAGCTCAGCTAGTGCGGTCTCCGACTAAAGAATAATAACAGTTTCAATGGGCGCTGAGTAGTTACTTGCGATCCAATCCCTTTAATAGCTGGGAACTGTACTCATAATAACAAGCCGGCTATTAAAGGGATCTCTTAGATAGCGGCTTGTTATTACGAGCAGTTTTTATTGGCACAGGAACACTTCGCTGCCAAAAGAGTAACCTCAAAATGGAGCGATGTATTTAACTGTAACAATTAACTTGTTAGTATAAATGATTGTCTACTAGACTGTAAATTTGCCTAAACCTTCAAATTATCGAACCCTATTTGTAAACCCTGCACAGAAAATTGGCTATACGACATAGCTGGGCCTTTGAAGAGAGGGGCTGGAGCCATCATTACAATTGAATAGTCATATACCCATAAGAGTTATTACCAAAGGGAACTGGTCTAATTTTGGACATAGAACCCTGCCGCTACTCAATCAGTGTGACTTTGGTAAATATTATTATAAATATTATACAATCCTTTCTCATAATTACGACGGCTTGTTTAGGTAATACAATTTTCTTTTTTACCCTCTAGAATAATAACAATTTGACAATACAGATCCGGTGACCTGTATCCGGCTACAATATTGATAATACGTAATATGTACTTACTTTAGGTTGGTTTGGTAGGGATTGCTTCTGGACAACAGTACTAGTACGTCCTCCAATCATTCCTGGTTCAAATCTTTCTGTAGATTCCATTCCAGAAGTGAGTTGTTGGCGATGGCGGTGTATCCTTTGGTTGGCAGGGTATCGGGGAACATCTCCAAAAATTGAGCAAGCTTATTGACCTAAATAATCAACCAATAGAGTGGGCGGTCGTTCTTAGCAACCTTTTTTTCTTAGTATCTAAAAATTTTAAGTTGATTCAATTTCAGTACAAGCTTTTAATGAGAATCACGACGTGTAGATACATGAGACACAAAATGAAAATTGTTACAGATACTCCCATGTGTAGCCTGTGTAACACATACTTAGAAACAATTCCTCATATCTATCTCCATTGTATCCACACAAATAGCTTCATCACAATACTTGAAGACTTTATAAAAAGGAAAATCGATAGAAATTACAAAGACCCCAATAAAATTAATTTTATAGTTTGTAATCACACTTCACAAATTATAAATTATTTTAATATTGTTGCCAAATGGTACATTAGCAAAAGATTTCAGGCAGGGGACATGCCGATCTGGCAGGGATATATCAAACTTCTTAAACTTTCACTTACTGGAGACAAAATAGGCCACAAAAGTTCTATTGTGTCGATCTTGGCCGATTAGGGCAAATTGTCCACCCCATTTATATTGCTGTCTTTGTTATTTTATTATCAATGGTTATTGTTACTATCTTACAGTACTACTAACTGTTTTTTGTAGTACATGCCCTGCTTCCTTCCATTCCTAAACTACCTTACAAGCTCTTCCTCTTTTACACCCTTTTCAATCACTTCATTTCACTCATTCACTTCATATCTTATTACCACAGTATCTGCCAAAACCAACATGGCCCATGTGGAAGGGGGCCTTGACGTTGTTGACCACTTGGCCCTGCATCCCAAGCTGACGGTCGGCCTCCACTCTCTAAAAACATACCTTCAGTGAAGGCAGATGGTCAGCAAATAGCGATGCTAGGGCTTGGTGTGAACAAATCTTGACCTACTTTCACACCTTTGGGACGACTCTCGCAAATGCGAGAGTAATGACCCCGGGGAGGGCCCCATTGGTTTTAGTAGGTTGCATATTTAAAAAAAAAAAAAAAAAAAAAAAAAAAAAAAAATTGAGCAAGCTTGATACCTTGAAGGGTCCTAGAGCAGTTAGGCTGTTCACTTGTCGTGGTAGGAGGTTCCATAATCCATAGTCTCGCTGCATTCACTCCAAAGGAATTCTCGTAATGAGTGGCCACTGATCGTTGCGATTTGTTGTTCAGTGGTGGGACTATGGCTTTTATGCCATGTCGAGCATTTTCCTTGAATACCATCTTGATGTCTGGATGTCATTTGGAGCAAGGTCGTTTGCCATCGTCCATGTATGGATCAGGATGTATCGCTCTCTCCGCCTCTGCGGAGATTTAAATTTGGCCTTCTTAAATTGTGCAAGTTCCCTTATATTGGCTATACTATACTTGGTTACAGTTACAGCTTCCACAATTGCCTCAGCTGGCAAAACTTTGAGAACCCATCCAGCTATTCAGGCTCACAAAAGTGTCTATCCAGCTCTCTCAATATTTGCTTTTGGCATTTACATTTTTGATATTCTTATTGACAAATTTGTGCCCCCATCACCCATGTGACAAATCGATATCTCAGAACATCGAAGCCGAGAATTCTCCTTGTCTTAAATTCGAACTTAAAGCTTCGACACTAGAGCGTCCTCACTCCCGAGAGCAGAGAGAAGCTTAAGAGGAATATCATTATTTACGTTGTCAGCGTAATGTGTGGATCTGGGATCATCGACGTTCCTTAATACTTTATACCCCGGGAAACAAAAAGGTCCCCTGAAGTTTCCCTGAAACCGGAAGCTAGAAATCTAAATACAGTCTAATGCATGAACAAGTTTCGATCGCGCGCGACCTGAATTTTAACGAATTGCAACAGCGTTTTCTCATCTGCTATTTTTATTCGCGCCTTCCATCAATTGGCTCAATTTAACCCACAGTGTCCCAACTTAGCTATAAATAGATGACATTACGAAAGAGTTAATAAAGTAGTGCATGTAACCACTGGCGAAATCCATTACATGGTGGCAAAATGGTGAGGCCCAAACTTTAACATGCAATGTGCTTGACGATGTTCTATTATAATAAGTCTTGAACCTAATTAGTAACATATCTACGACAGACACAGTGAACACAACTCATGAATTGTCAAATGTGGATAAAATCATCAGGGATTTAACACTACTAATTGTAATTATAATTAACGGCAAATCATATATACATTACAGTGTAATCTTTCACCAAAACCCTTGAAACTAAATTTAACCAAACTGTAAACATCACGACTGGTTGAAGTCGTTAAAGAAAGCAAATATTAAAATCAAACGTGGCGACATTTTCGCGTTTCGAATGAGAATAGTGTTCTTCGATCGTGCTGAAAATCCTTTAATCATCTTTTAAATACATAAGTTTGCTAAGTTAATTAAATGTTGGGGTTACATGGAATTGTCAGTAAAATCATTATTTGATGGAGCTGAATGTTACGTTTGATAGACGTGTGCTAAGATCGTATATTTTAGTTTTAAATGAAATTTTATCACCATCCTTTCATAAACAAATAATTTGAGGTCATGATAATACAAATATCATCCCTTGAAATTCACATCTATCATAGAATTATAATTTAGCTCACGTTCAAACACACAATATGTTCAAAATATAACAATCAATAAACTCGAATACTGGCAATAAACAGTTTTCCGTCTCTCTCCGTTTTTACATCAATTTAACATCCAAATGTGTTTTCCCCGCTGTAGGCTATGTATAAGAAACCGTCCTCATCTTTGTGCTCGTCGTATATGATACCCATAGTCGAACTGTGGAGACGAAAATAATGAGATGAGTAGGTTAAAATAATATAAATTAAAAGTGGTCAGACATTTAAATGTGGATAACCGACCATAAATTTCCTAAGCTAAGTCCGGGCTGGCTGCTACCAGTATTAAAGATAGGTGTTTTATTTAATGTTCATTTTAGTACTTTTATCGGAAGATTAAAGCAGTAACTGATAATTATTCCAGACATTCGTTAGTCCTTAGTGCCTGATACATAAAAGTTTTTTAAAACTTGGTCTAGCTAAGAAGCATGAGACCATTTATTATTTATGCAATATACATGAACTAGTTGCATGACTTCATCGCTGAAGCAATATGATCCTTCTAGAAACTATCACATGTTCAGAGATATCAAGAAAGTTCTCTCAGATCTAGATTCTCTAAAATAAGAACATCTGTTCTCAAGTTTCAGTGAACATGTTAGTACCTAAAATCTAAATGTGAACTGATTTTCACACATCCAACTTGGCCAAGATAAGACTAAATATAAGAATACTCATGATACCGATGGTTCAGCATGTGATGGCCATCTTATGTTACAACTGATAACAGAGAAACATGAGTTCTCACAGTATTATTATCTACATTCGAGTTAAAACAGGAAATTCCCTCTTAAAGTTTCATGATAATCTTATCGCGTACAATTCCATCGACACTTATTAAGCCCAGAATTTCGATATAACAGCGGATTGGTGAAGCGGTTACGCATAAAATTATCGCTCGAATATGACAGTATCCAATACTAGGCTCGAATGTACAGTACACGTGTTACTACACACACACACATTATTACTATCTGTATACCTATATTGAAACACTACGTGTCACTAAATTACTATAACAGTATATGATACAGTGCGGTATTGGCGGTATGCCAGTGAAGAGAGATACAGCAGGGTATGTGATATTGAGATGGCAGTCTATACTTTATAGCCATCACATGATATACTGCCTAGTGTTGTACAGCTGTTGATGATCTCATTGTAAATGTCATTTTAACTGGTTGCTTTGTAAGGATCAACTAATATCTAACTTTGTTTAAACAGTGCAGTGATAATCAGAAGTTAACACGCAGAAGATATTACGTGTTTGATATTAGGGACTTCATAAGAAGAAGTGGTTTAAAAATGAAACACAAGGATATATTTTAAAACAAACCTCGTAGTTGGGAGCATTTTGTTGACGAACAGGAACATGGCTTTCTCTGGAGCGAGCTGTATTCTCTTTCTTATGATGTACATAAATTGTGCGACTGAAACAGTAGGGTTATTTTAGGGATGTACTCTGTGAGGCATTGATACGAAGAACCGATATGATCGTGATTCTACCTATTTACAACAATATAAATACATTTATTTGGTTTCCTTATACGTTGTATGGGGCATCGAGTAATATTATTTATAGTAATTACTATTACTTTATAGTAATACTTGTGAGTTGTGAAGTGACAAATACATGATCGAACAGTGCAGTTTGGAGATATTTGATGAGGATGTAGCATTACAATGACCGAGATAGATAAGCTGATCCATTTCACCAGAACGTGTCAGGTAATTCGTCGGTTAAGTCATGCTGCCACGATGTGCAACCCAACTAATACAACAGAATGCCAGCTAAATGTAACTAATAACATTAACCAATTACACTCTCGGCTGTGTAAGCCTGATGTACTCTTCCTGCTCACTACCAAAGTGAAAGCTTGGTGAGTTTCATAGTCGGTTCATGTTTATTACAACTTACACTTGGGTGGCTTCCAGAACATAACCTGTGAGATGGATACAGACAGCAGTATAGTGAGAAAAGTTCGCTGGGGTAAGTTATTTCCGGGATCTAAAATTAGACATTCCTTGACACGACGGCATGAACAATTAATTGTGGACTGATAAGAAGATATCACATACGCTGGCAGAAGCTTATCTTAAAAGTTCGGGACTGATAATCGACATTTCTCTGATAAGCTTTGAATTGCCCAAGGAAAATGAACTTTACAGAATATTATGCAACATATGTTATACCAATATTAACATTTTCTGAACTTATTCGGCTTTTTATTTCCAGTGAAAACTCAAAACGAACGGTACAACAGCTCAGAATCATCACTTTTACACGTACATAATTCAAAAATTAAACAAGATGGAAAATATTATTGAAAAATTCTGCTGCCAGTTTATACACACCCGTGAGATCGGAGGGAACAAGGAATTTCCTCTTGTCAATGTCTGGAATTGAACTGGAAGATACCTTCTCAACAACTACTGGAATCCTGTCCGGGTACTTTCTCCTTATCTTCTGAGACTCTTCACGTCTGCTGTCTGTTAAATGAAAATGTTTCATGTATGAATTGTAATTCTAGTGTTACTGACTACTGTTCATCTAATGTTATATTCATGCTATTTCTTTCATTCGTTTGATTTCAAAAGAAGATAAATCCTAAATTTTCTTCCACTAATTGCAATTTAAGCATATCAGTCAATGATGAATAAAATTCGAGATAAAAGATGTCTGTAAGTCATTCATACACAATGTTACTCATAAATAAAACTCATGGACAGAGGAAATGTAAATATCATAAAGTTAAAAACTTACCGAGGGAATGCTCCTGTTTGAAAAGCCACTTCATATTTGTTACCTATAAAGAGCGAATATTTGAATAATAAAGCCTTTGCCACAGTTATAATTATTATATATAGAACAGTTACATTATGTATAAAGTGATGTAACATTTCCTTTCTTTTCTGAAAAACAATTTAAACAAACAATTTTAAAAACAATAGCTATGTGTGTGTATAGTGGTTTAAGGATGGGGTTTATAAAATAGCACAGATATGGCTAGCAGAATGTGTGAACGATATTTAAATGTCTTATATACAAATAGAGCAATAAAAAGTACTATAAAAAGTTTTCCCATGTCCTCTAAAATAGAATTCAAATTGTGCACCAGTGGCCCCACTGTGCCAACGGCAACACGCAACTTTACACCACTGTTGTTGGATGGTGGGTCCTTATATGGTCAAAAATTTTAAATGTTGTTTTCTGAAAAAAAAGAGAGTTAGAACTACCAGTTACTTCTGATCTCATCAAAAATATTAATTTTGGCTAAAGTTACTATACAGGTCATTAAAGATAAGAGGGTATGTATAATTCTTTTGAGCACAAACATGCAACGTTAAGCCACTGAAAAAGGGCTTATCTGAAGTTAAGCTGTATCAACGAATTTCTGAATTAGTGAACACCCTCATTTGACCCTCCCCCAACCGCTCGCGCTAGCTCACCTGAGGAATTGCTGGTATCCGACACTCCGTATATTTTTCCAGACTCACATAAAGAAAATATCAGTCAGCATTTAATATCAAGGGCTCAACTCAAATTGAGGATTTTGAAAAATTGGTTCTTCAATTCAACAACAGCTAAGGTGTTTTGAAATTTTGCCACTTTTCAAGCAATTTCTTAGATATTCCAAACATGAGCATAAAGGAAAACAAAATTTAAGGAAAACAAAATTTAAAATTGATTGCCATTACAATAAGTATTAATATCATAATAAATTTAAGTAAACATCCGATAATAAACTTGTTAGAACCAGTATAGCCCAAGATTCTCGACTAACAAATAAAAAGAACTAGCGGGTTCATGGTCCTTCAAACGCGCATACATAGGCCATATGCATTACCGATCTAGCTATAATTCTACGTCGTATTAAAAACTCTACAATAAATTTGATTAATTAAATAATATCAACAATCAATATGACCAAAAATATTCTGATTGGAAATATATTAAGAAATTGATTTTTAATTCTTCTGCTGGTGGTTGCGACTTAAGCGCGGCACCGTGTCAAAAAACTCGCAGTGCCGAGCCTAAACTCTAAATATTGTTATGGAAAACTAAATTATTTGCGAAATAATTTAGCATGCTGACCTCGTGAAATATTAAAATTATACCCGTTCTGGTTCCAGACGTAGGTTTAAACCAAAAGCAGTTGGAAAAAGGAGCCAGTTGCCTGTAAGAGCTTTACTAGCACCCGATTTACCACCTTTGGGGCACAAACCCAGGCCGAAAACCAGCCGAACACAAAAATGTATTATTATCACTTCGAGAAGTGATAATGATAATAATTAAATGTTTCGCAGATTGGCAATTGATCGGTGTAGTTGGTGTTGTACACACTGCACTGATAATGATATCACGTTGAACGTGTAATGTAAATATAGTGTGGATACATGCGAATATATATTCTAAATTATATTATTATCAAACATGTCAATCTTACAAATGTCAACAATCCTAAAATAATTTAGACCCGAAACGTGATCCTTTGTAAGATTTTATGTCCCAAAAGTCAAATAACTGACAAAAATGTATTATCACCACAAGTGCGTGGATTGATTTCCAGGAAATTTATCAGCACGCAGCACTAATGTGAAGTTTATTATCGAATTTAAATTTGGCATTTGGAACGTAACACACATATAAGTTGGTCGTTGAAAAAATTTAATGTTCAGTAATCGATATCAGTTAATAATTTAAAATAATCCATTAATGTATTTGGTATTTGTACCACTATATAGAAGCAATAAGTTGAACTCAACATGACATCAGTTGATTTAATAAAGTTGATAATAATAAAGTCAAGTATAAAATTGCTTAAAGTATGAACCAAGTTTGACAGAATGCAGCGACAAGAAGACGGGGACATGGGAGGACAATGTACCATACGGACAGAATACTGCAGTAGATTATATATGAATAAGATATACACAGCAACTAAAGCAAGTAGATCATTTCATAATTTAAGAAGGCTTCAATGACACTTCAATCAACTCTGCCAACTGTTAACAGAAGTTGATAAGATGGAGCAGATTTAACTGGTAATAAACTGAATCTCAAAAGCCATCGAATATGATCACACATCACATGACAATCGACAATGGATACTGCCAATATTCGGGATTGCACTGCTGCAGTTAAAACGTGCAAAAGGTAGTGATGAAAAAGGGATTTCTTTAATAGTGCATTTATTTTTTTATATATAAATTTTTCAAACAGTATACACATAGTCAGTGGCGTAACGAAAGGCCCTGCTGACCCCGCTGTGCAGGGGGGCGCCGTCTTAGGGGGGCGCCAAATCGTCGTTTGAATGTGGGACAATTTCGAAAACTTAACTAAAGTACTAGCAAAACTGCGCGTTTTGCTCTAGATACACACTTTTTTAGAGATTTTACCGGCGTATTCTTTAAAATCACCTAATTTGTTCAATTTTAGGGAGGGGCACCAAAAGGGGAGGGGGCGCCAACAGGGGGGCGCCTTTTTCGGCAGGGGGGCGCCAACAGGCAACGTTACGCCACTGCACATAGTGTCACAATGACCCTATATGTAAAAATAACCCTTCAAAAACTCAATATTTTGAAAATCACCCTTGGCCTTGTGGCTCCAAGTTCAAATCGAAACTGTCTAGAATTAGAATTAGAATTAGAATTAGAATTAGAAATTAGAAATTAGAATTAGAAATAAGAAAGATCATTACAAAATTACATGTGTCAGATCCCAATCAGTTAAATGAAAGTTACACAACCAAACAACAAAAAAACATAATATCTTAAATAATAAATAATAATAATAAATAAAATTTGGTAGCTTAAACACAAACTCTAAGCCCTAATAAATAATTAAAAGGTTTCAAAGTGTGCACGAAATAAGGATACTAATGACTAAGCCATAGCTTACTTTTAGGAAATCTTTCACGAAATAGATTATAAACAAAATTTCTGGTCTCCCAAATTTTTTAATTTGACAAAGTTTTTTCTTGTCCCTCTGTCTCCCCGGAGAGAAATCAACGTTGTTCATAAGATTTTGAAACGAAGGCGATTCCTTATATATCCCACAGCATCTGGGATATGGGATCTCAGTGTGGGGAGGCATATCGAACAATAGGCTTGAACCAATATTTAAAATTCAAAAAAAGTGCACTCGTATTCTATTTGGTGATCAAGAGGCATACAGTAATAAGTTCAAAACATGTGCTAGAACCCGCCCAATTGGATCCCAAAAACTTGGAGCCGACTTCTATAAACGAGAATCAAGTAAACCCCTTCTCAGCAGAAACAAAATACTCTGCGTGCATAATTTGCATAAGTACCACTGTCTACTTGAAATGTTTAAAATAATCAAACTTCACACTCCAATACCGATGTACAATTTATTTCAAAAGTCACCCCGACATGATAACTACTTTATTAACCCCGCTGCAACCAATTTGTTTGTATATAAAACCTCGAATATGTGGAATAAATTCCTTAAACCTTCTAGTAAGATTGACTTCTCGTCCCCAATTGCACTTGTTAAAGGTCGCATTAAATCTATGCTACTCAATGCTCAAAAAGCTGGAAACACTGATGAATGGTCAGAACTCAACTTTGATGGAAATGACATGTGCCTATAATTAAGAACACACAAACTAGTCCATATAGATTTCATACTACACACACAAAATAACACACACAATACACACCACAGTCAAACATAGAAACTATATATTCACACATATAACACAGAACACTGATCATCCGCTTTACACTGGTGTCTGGACTTGTCTGGAGTGTTCGTCTGGAACGTGGGACGGACTCACAAATATATTGCGTAAACGTAGCGCGCGAAACTTAAATATTGTATAACTCTATCATTTCATTACCCAGCGTGATTTACCGCGCCAGAATAATGAAATGAAGCCGCGCTATATCCGTGAACCTACAGTGACTTATATTTTATATTTTGTATCTCTTATATTATTACTACGTAACGCGAAATTAAGTTGTATCACACTCCCGGTTTTGGACCCCAATGTTAACCTTGCAGCAACTGTGTCAGCCCAATATACTCTAGAAGTATGATCACACTTATTTTAATGAACAAAAGACCCATAATTAATATAATCAGATACTCGTCAACAGCAGCAGTTTCCTTACGTGTGATGTGTTGTCCTTCTCCTTTCTGTGTCCCCGTCGTTTTGTTTTGTGAAATGTATTGTAGTAGTGTTTTAATATTTAAATCGAACGCAACTCAATAGTTAATAATAACAAACACAAATACTATTTTAAATAATTGATTAATATCGATTTATATACGAACCAAACATAAATTATTCTTTAATAACCTTTCATATATGTGTTAAACGATCCAGGGCATATCTAAAATTCGATAATGAACTTCATATACTATTAGTGCCGCGTGCTGATAAATACTCTGGGAATCAATCCACCCAATCGTGGCGATAACATATTTTTGTGCTTGGCCGGTTTTAGGTTTGAGTTTGTGCTCCAAAAGTGGTAAATCGGGTGCTAGTAAAGCTCTTGCAGGCAACTGGCTCCTTTTGCCAACTGCTTTTGGTTTAAGCGCTGACTCACATTTGGAACTGGCACTGGTATAATTGTAATATCCTACGAAGTCAGCATGCTATATTATTTTGCAAAACTCGTTTAATTTATCTTGACAATATTTAAAGTTTATGGTTTTAGGTTTAGGCGCGGCGCACGCACCGCTTATATGTTATAGCTCATTCAGCTTCTGTTTTCAGCGCTGTGTTGCTACACACTGTATAGCATGTGGGTCAAGCGCGGTGCCGCGCCTAAACAGCAAAAGAGTTATTTATT